CCCTGTCTTTCCTCTCCTCTTCCCCCGTGTGCCTCTTTCCCTCTGCCCATGATAAAGCAGATGCTTTATTTTTTCATTTAGTGAACTTTCACTCTCTTTCTTTAACCTTTCCCTCCTTTTATCCCTGTTCTCTCACCTCTCACTCTCCACCCCAGACAACCATACTGGATGTTTAACAAGCACCTTTTTGTTTGCAGGCGTCTGGTGAGATGGGCGTTGCAGGGCACAGAGTTTCCATGTCACAACTAGCTTTTGTGGTTGGCTCGGTGCTCCTTGCCCCTATCCCTCGGCACCTCCAGCACCATCCTGACCACTACAGCAGATGGAATCCGTGGCTTCCAACTGCTGGGTGGCTCTCTGTGGAGGGCACCCACCCCCTTGTACCTGCCCCCTCTGGTGACAGACACTCGACGCAACCCTCATGGCACTGTGAGAAGTGCATGGAACCAGCCATCCCTCAGAAGGCCGCCTCTGTGCTCACTCCCCCGGGGCTCAGGACTGCTGGAGCCCACATTCTGGAAAACGCTTGGCATTAGCCAGCTTTCTAACCTTCCCAGTCTGACGGGGGAGAGAAACATTTTGTTATACTTTGTATTGGCATTTTTTGATTATGGAAAGCTTAAACGTCTCTTTGTCATCAGCGTGGGTCTTTGTGACCCTGTCCTCTTCCACTCACAGACACACATACACAGTCCTGCACACTGGCCACTGGGCCAGTCCGAGAGTGTCATCCATCCCAGTGTGGGGCACAGTACCTGGCATATGGCTAAGTGCCCTATAAACATCTGTCATATAACAGCAACCCAAAAAGTCTAAGTAAGACGTGTGAGTTGGGATGTCTACAAGTCCTTGAGCTTGTCAAGTAGTCCCCGAGCCATGGTGACTTGACTGAATGAGGATGAGCACGTTCTCCTCATCCCTGCACACAAGTGACACCTCACAGCAGCCACACCAGGCCCGTCCCACCCCGATGATACCTCCTTCTGTCTACCTCCTCCCTGCCTCTGGAATTCTCCCCATCCTTCAAGGCCTCACTGAAGTGCCACCTCCTCCATACAGCTTCAGTGTGACTCTGGGAGTCAGATATCACGAGTGTTCACCGTCCTCTGCTCTCCTGTCAGACTTTTCGCCCTTGGCATTGTATTTCACTTGGGCCCACAGAGCAGGCTGGCAGTCACTGCCTTGTCAGTGCATGTTTCTGTCCAGCCCCCGCCCTGCCCATCGACACTGACCTTTGCACAGAGTGATTGCTTAGGGAGGATGCCCAGCCAGGTGGCCAAGGCTGTGATGCTCTAGAGGGCTCTCCCTGTATCCAGGAGAGCTGCCGAGAGCCAACTAACGGACAGCACCTGTCTGCAAGCTGCTGGGCAGACATGGCTGAGGGGGCCCCTACTTACTTGGCATAGGCCTTCTCTAGCAGGCAAGGCCAGAACTCCTGGTTGTCTTTTCGAGGTTGTACAAAGAGGCAGGCATTGTCCACGACTGGCAGGCGGTCATCAACCACCACTTCCACCCACTGGCCACACTGCCAAAACTGGAAGAGAACCAAGTATGTGCCTTAACAGAGAGGGGCAGGAGGGACCCTCTAACTTCTGC